ATTAACATCCCCGTCCCCGCCCCCGCCCCTGATTTTATCAATCGGGAAAAACCCGAACCCGAACCCGATAAACACAGGTTTTCCCCGTCCAAATCGGGGCGGGTTCGAGCGGGTACCCACGAGGACGGGTTAGATTGCCATGCCTAGCTGCGATGCTCCCTCCAAAGTCACACCATTCATATTCTAAAAGCACTCACATAGATCATTCTCGAAACTTGTTGAAGTGTTTATTTTGGTGGCGCATTTACATCTCAAAAAATATTAGTAAAATGCTTCCCACACATAGCATAGTGATTTGACAGGAGATATTCAAACATGTATCTTAATGTTATTAATATTATTATTCTTAACTTATAATATATGTAATACTCCCTCTATTTCTTTTTCATAGTCGTTTTGTCAGAGTTTGTTTTTTTTTTTTTTATTGTCATATTACTAAAATCAGTGAGTTATTAATTTTTTTCTTCCATTTTTACCTTTGATAATTAATACATGTTTCCTGAACAATGTGTGTATTTATTTTTAATGTCTACCTAATTTTTCTCCAACTACTCATATAAAGTTAATGTGCATTTATAAGAGCAATATGTTCCCAACAAAATACTATAAATAAACAAAAAAAAAGGACAACTATTTAATGAAGTAGTTCAATAGTCTAAAAAATGCAAAAAAAAAAAATAAAGGGTAAAATAGGAAAGTAAGTAATAAATATTTTTGAAAACTAAAATATCAATGATTTCCTTAAGTCCCGTGCAAAACCTTAAACGACTATGAAAAAAAAAACGAAGAGAGTATCAAATTATATTTTATTTGTGTAATCTATTTTAATTGTTTTGCTAATATTAAATTTAGTACACTTTTTTTTATAACTTATATACATATGAATTTTATTAAAATTTATAAGTGTAAAATATATATATGATATGAATATTTTAAAATATATATATATATATAATAAATATTAAAAAATACATATCATATGAATATCTTAAAAAATATATAATAAAAATTAGGACATGCAATTAATTAATAATTCACTAATTTATTCTCTAATCTATTGACTCAATATCATTACCAATTTAATAACAATTTAAGTTTTTAAAACATTGCCTTAAACTTAAAGTCATGGATTCGAGTTGTAGTAGTGTATATTTTTACTTTTCTTGTCCTATATTTTAAATAACAAATCAATACTTTGATCCGGTCAATAACTCCTTAGGTGAAATTAGCACACATGATGTGATTCATGTCCCAACTAATATGATGGTAACATTGGATTCAAGTTTTAATCTTCTAATCTAATTAGTGTAGTAACATGGGATGTTGAGGGAGGGAGTCAATGAATAATGATTGGTTGGAGTATTGGGAGTGTGCATCAAGCATTTTAGAAAAGGAAGAAAGGGTGTGGAGTGAAAAATTGTGTAAAAAAGGATTGGTTGATTTTTATTATTACAAAATTATTTATTTATATTTAGTGTAAAAATATAATAATTTAATATTGCAATAATTGCAATTCGTATCGTAATAGTAACAATGACTCAGTCACAACCGCAGTAATTGCAATTGTGACTACAATTATAATATAGAACGATATAAAAAAGTATTTGTCCAATTTAAAATAAAGATTATAACATCTTGCATTATTAATGAGACATGAAGAATGGAAGAAATACAAATAAACCAAGATTAGTGTATAGAAAATAAATCTAGTCACTTAAGAACAAATAGGAAACCTGTGAAGTTTTTCTTTCTTTTTTCATTCTATTTTGGTCATCAAGAAACATAAACATGTACCTTTTCTTTTCAAACAAAAATCACTTTTTAGCTTTTCCTTGAAAATATAATTTTTGTAAGGCTAAGATACATGAGGTATTATGTCAGTCATGTTCATGGTTTATATCAACAGCAATATCTAAACTTGACAACAACAACAACATATAATTTTGGTGAGGTGTCGATTATGGTGTCAAAGTAGGTGATAGTAGCGATTTTGAGATGATGAGTGACCATGACAGTTAAGTGTTACTTTGATAAAAGATTAGAGAGATGATGATCATGTACCTTCTCTTTTAAATTTCACAAATGACATATTTTTATTTTTAATTTTAATGAGTTGTCATCTTTTAGTTGTGTGCAAAGATGACGTGCTTAAGTTGTGTATGTATATAAAATTTACTCTCAGAGAGTAAGAGATATTACAACAAAACGTGCATAAAATTAGAAGTGTTTAAAGTAAGTCATAACTTGAAGTATTTGGCTTGGCTCACCAAGAATTTGAATTGGGTCGAATTAAGAGAAAATATATATCAATTTTAGCTCACTTTTGACGTGACTTGCTTAACTCACAAGACAAATGAATTCGAATTAAATTGACTCATTTAATTCACATGAAATTAAAACTTAAAATGTAATGATGAGTCAATTAACTTATTCGACCAATCTATGATGCGCCAAATCAAATTGATAACTTCTTAACGCACCAAAAAAATAAGTCGAGTTTGACCGGGTCTCTATGACAAAAAGCTATGAGAAATTTAGAAGAAAAAAAATTGTCTTGGGATTTAGGTACACTTTTTGTGATTGTAGTTTTACAAAATGATATCACTTATTGGTGTATATAATCAAATATTTCTAATGCATTTTTTTTTCATACACATTTTATAAATTGGGCAAACCTGTGATATACAAATATAACTTTAGCACGCTGTATATGAATTATTAGAGATATGAAATCCATACCAAAGAAGTCGCAAAATAAAATCACCACATCAAGATAATTATGCGACAGAATCAAATAAAAATGTATGTTCTCTTTTCACAAATTCAATTAACATTAAGTGCAGGAAAATTGAGTATTGATTCAGATAGAACTTATTTTATCATCCAACCGATGAAATACATAGAAGCTGACAGTTTCTTTCTGCCTTGATTTTTAAAATTTTAAAACAAAGATCAAGCAAGCCAACCACCTCAATTTCAAGGACGAAGATCCTGCAAACCAAAACAGGAAAAAATATTAGCCACAAATATGTAGTTACAGTTAATTATAGAACAAGTATTACATATTAATAACAATAGAATCGTGGTACTGTTTCATTAGTCATCACTGGCCTAGAATTTGCATCAAGTAGAATATTATGAAAAATAACATAATTTGATGTTTAGGACGCCAAAAAAGACTGATCTGTTGGGTAATTATTTTGGAATGTAAAAATTTACACCATAAAAATCATTTGACGGCTGCATTTTTGGCTCCGTTGGTCAATTTATATTTTCACAGGCCAAGATCCCAAAATTACTTCGGTACTTTTGGGGTGTTCGGTTTGTTGTTTTTTTTCTTTTTCATCATAAATTTCAGTGATAACAACAAAAAATCACCTTGTTTACAAGTTTAGTAAAGAAAATAGAGAAAATAAAACATTTCTTTGTTTTCAGTATCTCCTACAAAATTTTGAAATAAGAATTAAAATGAAAACAAGATAGCACTTGCATAATTATAAATGAAAACACGTCAACTGAAAATGAGAAAAAAAATCCTCTTAAAATGGGGATTAAAACTACAAAATAACTAAAACGAAATATTGGACTTTATAGAGTGAGTCCCCTATTCCCAAGTGTGAATCAAAAAGATTGCAGATCATAGAGATAGGATGCTTATAAGAATTACAGAAGGAGCTCTGTCTCCTCTCAATTCCAAGGAGCTGAGTATCCTAGCCCTGCTACCCACTACTTTCCAATCTGAACTCCCTCCCAAACCCCTTTTCATACCCTAATATTCCCTCCTTCTCCCTATCAATTTCAGTTAGAGACTCTAAGTCTCTAACCAATCAACCATCATTAACAGAAGCTAACAAAAAGGTTCGACTAATCTGTGGTCATCCATTATTATACCTAACATACACCTAGGTCACTCGGGGTTCTCTAAGAGAATGCTACTGATGTCCCAACATCCTCTTGGAAAATTGAAGAGTAGGGATACACGAAACAAATTATGAGAGGTCAGAACAGAGGAGATGCTATACAAAATTTGTGCAAGCAATTTTTCCAAATAGGAATATTTTTTGTAGCAACGACCCTTACACTTATTTCATCTGCAATATTACTAAGTCTAAAACCTGAAAGGTAATGTCGATTATCAAGTATTTGGAAAAACGAATTCCCAGACCAATTTTAGTTGGCTAAGCCTAGGAATGACATGAACATAAACAGTCCAAATAATATGCAAAATTGAAGCGCAAACAGTAACCAAATATACATTCAGCAAGGAAGCCTTTAAAATGATAATTCAGCTTACACTTTTAGTCTTCCAACAAGGAAAGCAGAAGCAATTGCAAATAAAACCACCACATCAAGAGGACTAAAGCACTGGATTCAAATAAAAAAAAATATTCTCGTTCACACATTCAAATGCAAAAAATTGATTATTGCATCAGAGAGAACCCGTTTTATCATCTAATCGATTAAATACATCAAATCTGACAGTAACTTCCTGCCTTGATTTTTCAGATTTAAAACAAAAGGATCAAGCAAACCAACCATCTCCAACACAACAACAACAACAACAAATTTATCAGATATCAACCACCAAATATAAAACAAATTAGTCCTAACACATAGGGTTAACAAGAAGCAAAAGTATAGTCCATTAACAGCAATAGCATTGTGCCACTATTTCATCAGTCATCACCATCCAATAATCCACTCAAGCAAAATACATTACGAAGAATAACTAAGAAAAGTTCCTAAGTTCGGGACTCAAAAACCCACCACAAAACTTCTAGGGTCTTTCTTTAGCTTGTTTCGTGTTTTCATTTATTCCCGCCCCATTTTCATCATCATCCTCCTTTCCCAAAAAAAATCGATTTTTTCTTTTAAAAAACGGCGACATTTTGTAATTGTACAACTACAATTTACAAACGAAAACACACGAACCGCAAGCCAAAACAAACACCCCCTAAAAAACCCTAAAACTCAAAATTCAAACAAAAAACAAATGACGAAAACACAGGATCCACGAATTCGTAAAAGACGAGACAAAACGGCGTCGCATTACCCGAAAAAAGAAAATCAGTGGTTCTGAGCGTGATGCTGCATGTGCTCGAGGTGGCGTCGCTCGTGGGGGAGAGCGACGAGGTAGGAGAAGATCATGCCGCCATAGCAGACATGGAAGAGGGGTTCAGGGGAACTGGTTTCGATGTACTTGGCGTGGTAATTGTCCATGCCTCTCTGGATTGTTTTCTTGATGTAGTTGAGCGACAGGAAGGGCTTCACGTGCTCCGGGATCTCGCTCACCCTCTTCCCCTTTATCTCGTTGTAGAACCTCCTCAGCGCCATTGCTTCCCAACGAACCCTAGATTCTGCGATTCGATGCAAATCCCAAATTCCAACTCTGCGTCTGGATCGATCGATGGGTCCTTCTTGCTTTCCCCTTTCTTAACCCAACCTGTACCTGTACGTGCACGTGTCTCTCCGCTTTGCACGTGCCGCTGCTGCTAAATATGGGCTTCACCATTGGCCCGGATTAAGGCCCATGCTATTTGTACCGCTCATTTCACTATTCACTCCCCCTAATTTTGTTTTCACCGCGGATATTGAGTTTTCGCATGTAAGAAAATGTACATAGAAAATTATTATTGTGTTATAAGCGATTTTGAATGGAAGGTGTTTATGCATCGAATTTTTTAAAAATTTAAATTGAATCGAATGAAAATGGATCAAGTAATTGATCTGATTTTGTAAAATACACTTGATCGGATTTTATTTTTTTTAAATGGATCAGAGTATTAATATGAATAAAATCAATTATAAGTCCATTTAGGTTTTTTTTTAACACTTTTAACTCGGAATGTGAAAATAATGTATAAAATTCTTAAACTTAAAGTTATTATGATTTTCACATGAAAAATTATATGTTTTAATATTAGCTAATGTCATATGTAATAAAATGGTTATAAAGTTAGTTATTATATATAAAACGAATCATGAAGAGGAATGTGAGAGATTTAGATGAGATTTGTTGAACTTCTTTATAATAGGAGTATTTTCTATATGAGCCTTTTTGATTGAGTACAACAAATTATGCATGACCTTTCAAAGTAAGTTGATATAAGATATTAATTTGAAAAAAAAAATTCTTAAGTATCAATAATATATTTTAGGCTAGCTTGATCCAGCCTGAATTATATATGGGTTGGTATTTTTTCAATGTCAAACTATCAGACTAAATTGACCCTAAACAAAAATGAATAAAAAATATTATAAATTATTTTAGGTAAAAAATTTACAAAAATTAAATATATTTTTAAAATGAAAATAAGGAAATTGTTTACATGAAGAATGAATGATCAAAAAGTTTTCCTTGGCAATGGATGAGATTAAATGTCTTTTAACAAAGTATTAAGTAAAGATGAACTTGATGTACTTGCTTGTTCTACATATGTACCAAAAAGATTATACAAACCATCTTTCACCTTATTCAGTTTCTTTTCATAATCATATGGATAAAGTCTCCTGTAATAAAAGTTTATGACATTCAACATTGCCTTAGGGTCAATAACACATATAAATGCAAGATTAATACAATATTCACTCTAATACTTAATCATTTTTTTTCTTTTTTAATTTTTGATCAATCAACCTGGCCTAAGGTCATTTGACTCATCAAATTATTCAAGTTGGGACAAGATGGTTTGTTTCTATTTAGACCACCTTTTTTAAGATCCAACATGACCTAATTTTGGGACCGCCTAGCTAGCCCATCAAGTGACTTCTCTAATGACGACATCAAATTTTGTGATCCAAGCTCAATATATTATAAATAAATTGTGAAATGCAAAATAAAAGCTCATATAATGAAAATATGAGTTTCAAGTTTCAATATTAGTTATATTTTGCAATATTTGTGACACTCTTTATTAAGGCTGTTCAAAATTGAACCAACTCAAACAAAAAACTGCAACCTAATCCAAAAAATTGAAAGTCAATGGAGAATCACAAATTCACATTCAGTTTGGTTTTTAAAGTTTTAAAACCCTGTTGTTTGGTTTGGTTTCATATTAAAATGTAAAACCACTATATATCAAACTAAATCGTACTTATTTGTAAATATACTTTTTCTTTCAAATGTATAATGCATGTATATGAAATTGACACATAACGTAATAGATGTTTTATAGAATTGTGAATTACTAAAATGTGTTTTTTTCTTCTCCAAATACACGTTATAATATTTAAAATGTATTTAATAAAAGTGTAAGCTACTAAATTGAATTTTAGAATGAAAAATTATGTATTATTTATAACAATCAAAAATATATTTTTTTAATTACAAACTATATATATATAAGATAAATTTTTTAATATGATAACTAAAATTGTATTAATGAAATACTTTTACAAAATAATAAGATAAGAATTGATATTAAATACATTAAGTGATCAAAATATTTTAGTACTTGTATATTTTTAGTTTTCTTTTGATATTATGTTTTTAAACAAATAATATAATATTAATATTTTTAGTTGATACCAAATTTTAAAAATTACAAAAATCGAACTGAATCAAATTGTAAAAAATTGGTATGGTTTGGCTCAAATTTTAAAATTCATTTAAGTTGAACCAAATCAAACCATAATTAATTTTCTTGTTTGGTTTAGGTGATTCTAAATCAAATCGCATCGCAAATACCCCTAGTTCATACCCTTTATCCTTTAGAATTTAATATCATAAATAAAAGAAATTTTTACAATTAAAAGAAGAGTAGAATTTTCTAAACCTTTATAATCATCCTAAAAAAAAGGTTCACATTATAATCATTAGTCAAGTAATCAAATAAATTGGTAACTAACATAAATTACTTAATAAGCACTTAGCAATCCAAAGGCCATACATAGGTCCAAAATTTAAAAGAAACATATATCAATTGATAACAATAAAACCCAAGCCCCAGTTCAACAAGGACATGATATCCAAAACTACAACAAAGGAGGTCTAAGTCTATTTATCGACATCAACTTCAAGTTGATCCTCACCTACAAATAACTTTCAACCTAAATACACAAAAAATATATGAAGGAAGTGAGATGTATCTTACTCATGATCTTAGCCCTTATTTGGAATCGATGAAATAAAAAAGAAATAGGAGGGGATAGAAAAATAGTCAAGAAATAAAAAAATAAAAATAAAAATAAAAACTTGTTCATTTAATAAGAAAAAATTTTGTTAACAAAAAAAAAAGATGTGGATCCCAATTTCTTTTTTGTAAATATTAAAAAAATGAATAATCGACATTTGAAATCATATCATATTCAATTACATATTACTCTCAATTGAATAAATTATATTTTTCATACTGAAATCATAAAACTTTTATTTGATTACGTTTATTTTCATCGGATTAAATAAAATTTTTATTTGATTATATTTAGTTTCAACATTTTCAATCGATTACAAAAACAAATTTATTTGATTGAAAGTTTACATTTTTAAACGATTTTTTAATTATTTATATAATTTAAATTTATTTACTTAATTTAAATATATTATTTTAATTAGCTTTTAATCTTATTTTATTTTAGAATTATTTAATTACTTTTAATTAGTTATTTATTTTATTGTAAAATATTATTTATTTAGTTATATATTTTATTTATTTGATTAAAATAAAAGTAATAATAAAAAATTAAAAAAAAACTTTTCTATTTCATTCTTTTTACTTATTTTTTACTCTATTTATTTATTTGTTTATTTCTCTTTTTTATATATACCTTATTTCTCATCTTTTTTTTTTCATCTCACCACACACACATAATATTATTTCATACATATTTCTCACTTATTTCTCTTAAACCAAACAACCAAATTTTTACTATATTTCTTACATATTTTCACTCATTTGTTTCTCCTTTTTCTATTTCTCTCTAATGTATTTCTCACCTATTTCTTTTCATTCTACCCAACACACCCTTAGTGTGAAACTCAAATACAAACACATCCAATAGGTATACAATGTAATGTAATGAGTCATGTTTTATGCAATTATACATTTGGCTCTATTTCAAAAACACATCACAAAGAGAGTAGCCTAGAAGTACATGCCGATAAACAAAACCACTTGGTTTAGGTGCCTACCACCAAACATTCTCAATAGGGTGAAGATCCACCATTGTGGTTGGAGTTCCCAAACCAAGTTGATTGCCAAAGTTTGAATACTTTAATCACTAAAAGATCTTTCTAGCTTAAGATTCCACACCAATACCTCAAAACAAAAGTTTTATGCATATAATGTATGTCAAATGTAAATATGATTCAAACAATTCAATTGTATTATCAATTATTTCAATTGTTCGATTGAATATGTCTTATAACTGTTTTCAAGTTCTCAATTGTTTGAATACTAATTAATTACTTCATTAAATTATCATCTCTAACTCTCTTTCTCTCTTTTTATCTCTCTCTTTTGCCATTGTACATCCTTTCAATTCTCACATACTAGAGTCCCAAATGCTGAAGCAGCCAACAAGGAACTTGAAATGAATGTTAGACTACAAGGAGGGGTGTTGAATTGTTTTCTATTTAAAAAATTTGTTCTTTATAAAAAAAAATTTCTTCAAAAGACACATTTTTAAGTACTAAAACTTAGAGTATTTGTTAGAAAACAGTTACTGAGTTTACTTATTTGTAAAACAAATTATGCATCAATGCAATAATGGATGTAGTAAATTAAATACAAGTAAAGATATAAGGAGAGAGAGAGAGAGAGAGAGAGAGAGAGAGAGAGAGAGATTGAAAACAAGATTTCTACTAATTCACCCCAATTGGCTTACATCTAGTCCCATGCAACCTTGCAAAATTTTCACTAATCATAGTCAATTGTTGTTCAACAAAACTCAGCCACCTGTTAATACAAACCACTACTACACAACCACCTACCGTTAGTAACAAACACTCAGGCACCTACTAAGATTTTTTCACTCAACCACCTGTTAAGAAAACAATCCCACAATCATCTGCTATGAGATTACACAACACCTTTTGTGGTTCCTTTCTACTTTCCTACACCTTTGCACACTCAAATCTAGGTAGGCATGGTTTATAGAAATGAGTTTTATGTTCTTTCAGACTACTAAGATCACAATCAACTCTCCTATAATAAAGCTTCCACTAAGAAAGATTTCACACTTCTTTCTATTACAAAAATGACATATAAATACGAAGTGGAGATCTCTAAAAAATCATGGTTGGGGTAAACACAACATAACTATGGTTGTGCTCACCAATAACACGTTCTTTCTCACCTACACTCGTGCTCAAAGTGTAGTGTTCCCAAACTATAAGAACAAATAATATACAACATGCTCCTCCCAATTCTCTCTTATTTTTGAATCTCACATTTTCTTTCATCGATTGGTACTATTGTCATTATC